GTGAACATCAAATCACTAATACCCATTGCTTCTCCTTGGGGCTAAAGAAAGTAGGAAGAGGTAATTCTGGGATAAGAGATGTGATCAAAAGGAGGGTTGATGAAGGTGTTTACCTGCTTCTTTTCTCCAGAGCCTCACCCCAATAGGCCGGATCTCTTCTGTTGCTGCGATCCACAGTGCGCTCGACTTTCCCCAGCTCCCTTCTGCTCTCCCAGCAAGCCCCAAGTTTCTGCTGGCTCCTGAAGCACTGGCTGTTCGCCAGCTTCCCCAGCTGATGCTCGGGCTCCCCTGAAGCATGCGAGGGGTGCGAGTGGCCCAGGTCTGCGAGGAATGGGCGCTTCTGGGCAGCTGTCCTGTCTTCTCCAAGAACGTAGAGTGTCTCTCCCCTTCCTTATCCAGGCTGGGGGTTGGTGTCTGAGGGCTTCTCGTCCAAAGCGTGCTCGTGCCTAGCTCTGCTGGCTTCTCGACAGGTCCTTTGCCTTTTGAGGGTATTGCTGTCACGATGGATTCCCGACGGATGAATGGAACCCAGAGGGTTGTGTTCGACAGGGTGCTGACGGAGTCTGAGTGTAAGGACCTTCTCCGGCTGACAAAGGTGAGGCCTGGGGCTTGTGGGAACTCCTCTGTGTGTACTTTCCTCCCCAGCAGCAGGGTTGTAGTGTTTCCATGGAGAAGAGATGGCAGCCTAACGCATGCCGTCTGTATCCTTCTGTTCCAGGCAGCAGGAGAAGCGGGAAGCGGGCCCCGGGCAAGACGGTCGCCTCACACCCCCCATGAAAGATTTGAAGGGTTAACCGTTCTGAAGGCCGTGCAGGTAAGCGGCTCTGTGCGTCTGCCTTCTTGATCGTCCGTGAAGAGTGTTTGCCACCTCAGTGTTTTCCTCTGGGAAGCCCACTCCGAGTGGGCTCACGGGTGTGTTGGATTCCTCACAAGTACACGTGTGGTCTCCCCTGACCCTCTTCCTCCACGACCACGTTCAGGCACATCGTACATGGAGGGCTTGACACGTGCTTTCTCTCCTGTGAGACCTGTTTCTGGACTGCTCCTTGTCCCTGCACGGGACATGCCTAGCTTAGAACGGGAGGATACGTTAAGGTGGAAGGAGCCTCTGGAGGTCTGTAGTCCATAACCCTGCTCACAGCACGGATAATTCCAAAGCTAGATGAGATGCCTCAAGGCTTTGTGCAGGCAAGTCCTGAGCATCTCCAGCGGGGGAGATGCCCAGCCTCTCTGGGTGCCTTTTCAGTGCTGTACCACTCTGGAGAGGATTAAATTTTTCTTTATATATAGCCAAAATTTCCCTTGCTGCAGCTTTTGCCTGTTGCCTCTTGTCTTTTCAGTGTGTCCCTTTGAGAAGAGACTATCTCCATCTTTGCTGTAACCCCCCTTTTAGGTGACAGGACGCTGTAATTAGATCCTCCTTTGGCCTTTGCTTCTCTAGGCTTGAGAAACCCAGCTCCTTCAGCCTCTTTTTCTGTGCTCCAACACCCCTGCCATCTTCAGACCCTGCGCTGAAGACTCGCTCCAGTTTGCTAGTGGCCCCCTGGGTGACCCAAAATGATGCTGCGTTCCAGATGTGCCTTTGTGTGCTGAGTAGAGGGAAAGAATTGCTCTGCTGGACAGGTGTACTCCTGACTTACATTTGCAGGAGAAAACATGGTGTTTTCTTACATGTGTGATCACAGGACTTTACACAGGTCTCTTCTTCTGTCCTGTGTACGTGTATCGTTTCTTAGAGTGTCTTTGTAAGTGTTTTAACAGGCTTGTTTTTCACTTGTAGCTCGCCCAGAATGGGGACGTGGACTGGAAAGATGCCAAATTGCTTCTGCAGGCTAGTGAGAAATCACGGAAAATCGTTGAGTCCTATTTTACTCCTGGAAAGAAACTCCATTTCTCATTCACACACCTTGTGTGCCGCACGGCTGTAGAGGGTAAAGTATCTTTCGCCCTGTTAGTCCCTGTCTCCTGTCGAATCTCCTTCTCAGTCCCAGACATGTGCTCTCAGGAGACTCTCCTGCCTTTACTCTGGCTGTGTCCCTTCCTCTCTGCCTTTTTCTTTTTTGAAACTGAATATGCCCGTATCCTTTTCTGTAACTTCCCTTTTCAGAGGAACAGGAAGGTCGCATGGATCTTAGTCATCCTGTCCATGCTGATAACTGTCTCTTGGATCCTGAGGGGCAAGAGTGCTGGAGAGAGCCACCCGCCTACGTGTACAGGGACTACAGGTGAGGAAAGAAGGGGATCTGCGTTAGCTCAGAGCGTCTCCCCGGCCCCATCAGAGTCTGAGCTCAGCTTAGAGAAACCAGGTGATGGGTTGTTGGCTCAAAGCCATCCCAGACTGTACCATCAAGCAGCAGGCTGCATCAGTGGCTTCAGAACGAGGTATGAAACACCTTCTCTAGGCTGAGAAGATGAGCTGCCGTTTCCCCCACCTCCCTCCCCACAGCCAGCATTAACGGAGAGCAAGATGAGGCTGGGAGGCTGCTTGAACTGGAACCATGATGTCAAACTGTCTTCTTGTGGGTCTGCCACTGTACTGCAGCCCGCTGCCAGCTATTCCTTTTAATCACATTCCACCTCTCAGTCTTACTGCTCCATTGTCCGTGCAGTGCAGGAGGGGGAGAACTAGGCTCCTTGGATTTCCTTTGTTTGAGCAGTCAGTGTACTTTGCTGACTATTCATCCGCCTCAGGATTCACTGCCATGCTTTGTGTTGGGTTTTTCCGTTCCATGTGAGACTTTTTTTTCTTTTCCAGCCTGTGGCTGGAATTCTTAGTCTTCTGCAGAAGAGCCTGCAATGTGTTTTAAAGATGCTGACAGTTGTTGCACACTGCAGCCAAATGAGGTCAGTTCACCCCAGTTGATTCCTCTTATTTACCATCCCATGGCTGGGCATCCAGAAATCTTATTTGCCTTGTCTTTGAGGGTTGGCTGTACCCAGAGCAGAAATCTCTGAGCAGCCTATGGGAAGGATGCTTAGGGGGAATTCCAACATCACTGAGCCCATTTCCCTTCTGATACAGATGTTGACTTGGTATAGTCAGATTGCAAAGTTGCCGGGCTTTGTCGTGTGACCGGTTGGATCTCTGTGCCTGCTGTGGGAAAACTGGCCTGTCCCCTCGCTCCTCCCTGGGTAATGGGCTTCTCTGTCTTCTACTTGAATACATATTAAAATTCCTGCCTGGGATCTGTGCCACTGAGCTGCTTCCAGGAGCATTCCTGTCGTTTTGCGGAATCAGTTGTGATTGACCAGCCGACTCGCGAGGGCTGAGCTCTTGCAGTATCCTTTTGAAAGAGTTCCCTGTGCTCCAGACTTCCTGGATCTCTTCTGTGTATTTGTGCTGTGGTCATTAATGTAACCATTGAGCAGGATTGGGCTCAGGGGTCCAGGAGTTCCAGCCATCCTCCTCCAGGCAAACAGCACTCCTCTGGGTGCCCGTGGTGCAGCGGTCACTGTGCTGCCCGCGTGCTCTTCTTCACCCTCTCTGCGTTCGTTATTAATTTCTCTAGTGGCACTGTCCTGAGGACTGTCACCAGAGCCCAGACTGCTGAGGCTGAGCACCTTTTCTTTCCCTGGGAAGTCAACTGTATTGTCAAAGATTGTGTGGCTGCCCCGAATCTACTTTTAGTACCCTCTATGTTACATTTTAAGACCATTTTCTCTTAACATCTATTTATGTGAGAGCTGTCCTTGCTTTCTTCCAGTCACGTTACCACCTCAGCCTTACCGAAAGCCTGTGGCAGGAGAGCGGTAACTTCCTGGGCTGGTAATCCTCTCGCTGTCCTTACTGTTGTGCTTCAGCAGGCACGGTGTTGATTTATGTTTCTTTCTCCCAGTCCCATTAATGAGCCTTTCTTTTCCTATCAACTGAACTGAATACCAAGAGGAACAGAGTTTGTGGTCTGTTCTTTCACCTAGTTGCCTGGGGTCTCACTGCACAGTGGCCTCGCTGCTTCTCCTTTTGTCTAACATGAGTAAAGAAACATCTTATTTTAATTTTCTTTTCTGCGTGCACCAAACCTTTTTGACCATTCTCACGTTACCCTGAAATTCCTTGACTCCTAACACATGGCTCTCTTTGCTGATCAGTCTCCTCTTCCAGGCTTTGGATTATTCCCAGTCTTAAAACATAAACAACATCGTGCCAGGTCAGAACCAAGGTCCACCTGACGCAGGGTGTTGTCACGACGGTGCCGCACATCCGTGCTGCAGGGGATTTGAGAAAACAAAACCAGGCAGGACAAGCACGTAGAGCGAACTTCCCACCTCCCGTGGCTTGCAGCTCGGGGACTCCCCCTGAGCGAGGCGCTGCTGTATTTAACACCCCCAAATGCATTCCTCTGTTAATGGGTCGCTTTTTGAACCAGTGGTACCGTTGGGGTGCCACGGCCTCCCGTAACAAGGAGTGTGGTGGGAGTGAGCGTCACCGTCCATACGTCCTCTTTCTTTTTGTCCACAGTGGCATTCTCTACCTCAATGATGACTTCCAAGGTGGGGGCCTTTTCTTCACTGAAATGGACACTGTGACTGTCACAGTAAGTCTGGGACTGGCCGAAAGAAGGAGGGAGGACAGAGGGCGAGACTTAGTCTGGGCAGGATAAAACTAGTTGGTTAGTGGATCCCACCAATCCAAAAAGAATCCGGTGCTGTGGCAGATTCAAATAGGGCAGCTGGAGGCAAATCTTGGGTGGAGGAGAGGTTAACTCCTTCCTACCTGAGGTGTTCCAGGCTCTTACAGGCTGAGTGTCCGTGAGCTGTGTTGTCCCTTTGCTTCTCCCTGTCCCTCCCCAAGGTCTGGCTTCCCCGCAGACTGGCAGCTGATGCCTCACAGCCCCTCGCCATTCCCCATTCCCAGAGGCAGCGTGACCTCTGTGGAAGGACCGTGTACCCCAGAGCAGGGGGATGCTGGCTTCGTCATCTCTTCTCTCTCTCCCCTGTCAGGCTGAGGTGCGTCCGAAGTGTGGGAGGCTGGTAGCCTTCAGCTCTGGCAAGGAGAATCCCCACGGCGTGTGGGCAGTGAGCCGCGGCAGGCGCTGCGCCATCGCTCTCTGGTACACGCACTCCCAGGAGCATGCTGAGCAGGTAAAGGACCATGCTGGAGAAGCGGATACGAGGACTCCAAGCTAGATCAAATCCCATCCCAAGGAATGGCTTGTGGACTTTCCCGTGGGGCAGGGCCTTGTAGGGTTGTCCTCTGACAAGGTACCTGGTGGGGTAGTGTCGTAGGTTAA